TCATGGCTCGTCCACTGCACATACGATTGTGGCTGGATGGGTGCTCGCACTATCTCAGACGGCTTAAAACGCCAGCTTCCCTTGGGAAACTTCACTTTGACCCTGCCCGAGTCATTCAAGCCCTTTAACACCACGCCCAGGTGACCCTTCGGGATGTCGTCATCGGCCTTGGTCCAAAACACAAGCATCTCGGGCTGAAAATCGCACAAGATGAGCTTCTTTGGCTTGTACTTTTGGTCTTCGCCTTTGACTTCGACAACCACTTCTTTGCCATCATCCACGCGCTTGACCTCTCCAATCACCTCGTCAGAGTCACCAGCAACCTGCACAAATACACCGATCTGAATGTCCGCCGCACACAACCATCTCGGATCTATACTGAACTTGCCGGTGCTGAATTTCACCCGCAGCACGCCCTCATCATAATCACCACAAACTTGGGTGATTTTGCCAAGCTCATTACGGTCAACGTCCTTGTCCGCATTCATCCAATACACGAGCTTCCCTTCCGTCAAGTCCTCATACCCTTCATTTTTCGACATGCTTGCGCCGCATGGGGCGGAGCTGTGAGTGGATTCGGCTGCAGCTACAGGCAACCCAAAAGCTCAAGCTGCAAGTAGAAAGTTCATCTGGGCACGTGAGGACAGGTCTCGTTCCTTGAGAAAAACGAACCCAAGTCCAGCTGAACCACTTGTTGCCCTCATGCCCCCTCCCGCACCTGGAGGTCGTCAGCGTACGCCTCCTGCGCAAATAGATTCCCACGCCCACAGCCCCAGAGAGACCCCAAATCCTCTCGTACCATTGTCCAGGGTGGTCAGCGGCGGGGGTGCCACAAACTGAAACTCATGCGCTGATAATTTCGACGAATTTCGGCTGCAACATCCTATTCTTCCTTTTTCCGAGAGTGTGGGGACTGGCCTTGCATCCAGGCCAAGGGAAAAGCAGTTGGAGCAACGTACTGCAACACAACGGGAAGAAACAAGATGCTTGCGATCAACTTCACATTGACATGACCGCCCTCATGTGGACGCTTGCAGAGCCTCGGCGAGCCTCCGTCCTCTCAGAAGAAACCCGGTGAGCACGGATCGGCAACCTCAGCTGCACGAGGCGCTTGCCGGTGCCTGCCTGAAGCTACTCGCAGACTGCGAGGCAGGTGCCGAGAATGTCTTGCACTTGACATTGAGGTCTTGTGTACTTTCCCGCAGGGTTCATGGCCCCAGCCCTCCAACTCCAGTATTCTAATTCCATGAAAGTCTGCATCAGAACGAGGAGTCTACTGTTGCCGGGGCCCCAGCAGCGTGGCTGAGCTCTGGCCATACTGTTATGGATCTCAGATATTGAAGGGCAGCACGCAGATTCATGCGGCGGCCAGAAAAGCTAAGGCAAACGGAGGCCATCAGACTGCATGGGCCTTTGGCAGAGACAAAAAAAAACACGTCACATAACAAGGTACTTGATTTCCGTGGATCAGGGTGGTAGTTGCCTGAGATCTGTACATCCAGCGACATTACAAGTATGCAGGCCTGCGAGATCGACTGGCTTACACATGTCACAATCAGACAAGCTGTTGCTCCCAGGTGCCCACAAATGTCCACCGGCTTTCCCAGGCACTTCACCAGGTCCTAAGCAGCCAGGAACTTTGCGGATTTCATCTGCCAACGTAACCCCGAGCCTCCGCTTTCCTTCAGCTTGGGTACCCCAGCTGTGATCTGTGCCTCTGTCGCAGGGAGTGGGAACGAGAAAAGTATGCGAGGGTTGGGAGGCAGGCCTTCAGCTGCTGCTGCTCGTCTTCATCACAGCATGCCAAAGCCTCCACCCAGTCGAAGCACAAGTAGAAGTGGCCTCGGATTGCCAAGCTACAACCGGCCAGGAAGAGGAAAATCTAAACCTATCACAGACTGCCACTGTTGTCGATTTCATTTACCTCTGCAAGATGGTAAAAATTGCCATAGCGCTTCACATGCTCCAATCAAATAATATATATTATATATTATATATTATATATTATATATTATATATTATATATTATATATTATATATTATATATTATATATTATATATATATTATATATCATACACTATATACTGTATATTATATACTATATATTATATTCTATACTATATATTATATATTATATATTATATATTATATATTATATATTATATATTATATATTATATATATTATATATTATATATCATACACTATATACTATATATTATATACTATAT